TTCAATCTGTCTTTGCCCAGAAGTAGCTACTCATGAATATGTTGGTATAAATACCACAGTGTCAATCTGTTAAACTGAAGTGAGACCAAAGACAATGCCACCTGAGGTCTGGGAAAAAAACGAAAGAGTTGTGTAGCCCATGAATAGTTAAATCCCAATCAGACTGGTAAAACCAGCTCAGAGTGAGAGGGAAATAAACACATAAGAGTTCTCACCAAAGAAATAGTCCTTATATCAACATGAATTTGAGACCAACCAAAGATTTCAACATAAATGATGGAAGTACTATAGATTGAATCTGACCTTAGAGTAGGGTTGACCGCCCCCCAAGCATGCCAGGAAACTGAGAAAGACAAACGTGAAGGTGTAAAAGTAAACAACTAGACAGACCAACAGGAACAGAGCATAACATCCAGAAACAGACCTGGGTACTAAGAGAATCTCACACCTAAAAACATATAAAGGCAGCACCTCAAACCAGTGAGTAGGTAGGGATGGGCTTTCTAGTAAGAGATGCCAGAAAAAAAATTCTCAGATTCATATTTTATACGGTCCCAGGATGAACTCTATATTGGCCAAAATTCAAGCATGAAAAATAAGCCCCAGCTTATTAGAAAGAGGTACAAGTAACAGGTACAAAGATGAAAAAAATTCTTAGGCTAAGAGATGTAAACTGAAACTACATTTGGGTACCATTTTTTTTTTTTTTTTTTTAGATTTTATTTTTCAGTTATCTCTACACCCAACATGGAGCTGGAACTCACAATCTCGAGATCAAAAGTCACACACACGCTCCACCGACTGAGCCAGCCAGGTGCCCTTGGATACCATTTCTGATCTATCAAACCAACAAATACCTAGATGTCTGAAACACATCTTGCTGGCAAAACTGTGAGGAAATAGGGGCGCCTGGGTGGCTCAGTCATTGAGCGTCCGACTTCGGCTCAGGTCATGATCTCGTGGTTCATGGGTTCGAGCCCATCAGGCTCTGTGCTAACAAATAGCTCAGGGCCTGGAGCCCGTTTCAGATTCTGTGTCTCCCTCTTTCTCTGCCCCTTCCCCGCTCTCACTCTGTCTCCAAAATAAATAAACATTAAAAAAAAAAAAAAAACTGTGAGGAAACAGGCATACCTACATACCTTGCTGGTGACAGAGCAACACTGTATAAACCCCATTTGCATTTCCCCTTTGATTCGTCAATTTTATAGGAAACTACCCTTCCTGCATGTACATGAACGGTCTTATAGGCAGGGTCTTTCATTACAATGCTGTAATGGCAGAAGGTCAGCAACACCACAACAGTTCCTCAATAACGGACAGTGTCAGTGAACCAAGGTCCTTGTACGTATCGAATACTGTGCAGGTATGAAAAAAAGAGGAAGCTGTTTTTCTATATACAGACATGGACAAGCTTTCAAGACAGGTCATTAAGTGAAAAAAAGCCAAGGTGTGGAATAATACAAAGTAATATGTGAGCTTTCATTTAAGAAAAAGGGGGAGAATGGGCCGCTTGAAGGGCTCAGTAGGTTGAGCATCCGACTTCGGCTCAGGTCATGATCTGGCGGTTCCTGAGTTCAAGCCCTACGTTGGGCTCTGTGCTGACAGTTCAGAGCCCGGAGCCTGTTTTCGGATTCTGTGTCTCCCTCTGTTTGCCCCTCCCCTACTCTCACTCTCTCTCTCAAAAATAAACATTTAAAAAATTAAAAAAAAAAAGGGGGGGAGAATAGGAATATTCATATTTGCTTATATTTACAATGCTGAAATACTGGAAGGACAGACAAAATCCTAAAATATATGGTTGCTTTAGAATGGAGTAGACAAAATAGGTAAAAGCAAGACTTCTCAACGTGTAACTGTTTATAGTTGTTTCATCTTATGTCCCCCAAAATGTAGTACTTATTCAAAGACGTTAAATTACAAAATGAAACCCACTTCATTTATGGATTAAAAAATTAAATTAGGGGGTGCCTGGGTGGCTCAGTCGGTTAAAGAGTCCAGCTCTTGATTTCGATTCAGGTCACGATTCCACAGTTTGAGAGATCGAGTCCCGCGTCAGGTACTGTGCTGGGCATGGAGCCTACTGGGATTCTCTATCTCCCCACCTCTGCCCCTCCCCCCCCTGCACACACGTTCTCTCTCAAAAAATTAGAATTATACACATGTACAACTACCATCTTGAAAAATAAACCATAAATAAGGTCCACCGAAGAAAAACTGACGAGCTGAAAAAATATACTTGAAGTAGGCATGGCAAGGACTACATCCTTATCCCTTTCTTTCCAACCAGAAAAGAGAACCCAGAGAAAAATGGGAACAGACAGGAGGAACAAGCCATTTGCAGAAAAATAGGGAAAAAGGAAGACAATGAAATTCACTGCATTCACATGAAGGCAGACAAAGACAACGGGGAAATGCCATTTCCACCCATCAGACCAGCATGAGGAAGCCGTCACTCTCATCTATTCGGTGCGACCATTAACTGGTTGAACCTTTTTGGAGGGCAATTTGGTAGTATTTATCAAAACATAAAGCATCTGTAGCCTCCAACCCGGTAATGACTAGTAATTTACCCCATAGCTGGACTCGCACGAGTCCATCGTGATATTTGTTAGAGGATATTGCTTGCAGCGCTGTTTTTAATAACAAAAATAAACAATCCAAGTGTGTGTCATTAAGGGCTCTAATAAATAAATTATAAATGCAGCCACTTCATGCCATAGTACACAGGATGAAAAAGTTTACCTATAAGTGCCAATGTGGAAGCATACCAAGATGTGTCATTATGTTATTAAAAAAATAAAATAAAATAAAATAAAATAAAATAAAATA